AAGGGAGGGGAGGGGAAAAAACGGGGGGGGGGGGGGGGGGGGGAGGTATGTGCCCAGATGGGTGGGTTTGATGAAGCAGTGGCAACAGCAGAGCATCGTACGTATCCACAGCAGCAGCAACGATAACAACAGCAGCAGTACATGGAACTATCAGCAGCAGCAGAAGCAGCAAAAACCACAGCAACATCAACAACAACAACAACAACAACAACAACAACAAAGAACAACAACAACCGCAACAACAACGAACAGCACGAGCCGCTCACCCTCAGCATGCCAACGATGGTGTCCACCTCGTCCCAGTGGTCGCTCACAATCGCAGACCTCAGGGCGCTCCGGCACGTCTCCAGGTCGATGGCTACCCCCCCAACCCCGTCGAGGCACACCAGCTGCCGCCAGTACGCTAGGCTCTCCTCATGGAGGTCCGCTTTCGAATGGGCGAGCATCATCTGTTAGGTTTAGCAAAAAAAACAAAAACAAGACATACGGGTACTTTCTGACGCTATGAATTCATTGCTAATCTGTCTCAGACTCTTTTCTATGATAGAGATGGATTCGTTGTGTCATATTAAGAAGAAAAAAAAAAAAGTTTTGTTGGACCTGTTAACCCGGAGGCGAGGAAAATACAGCTTTGGGGACGCAATGACGAGTATAGGTTGGGTGTGTGTTGTTTTGGGTATTTTCTCATACTCAGGTTTGGGGGCGCAATACCCTAACAGTCGAAAGAGGTGTTTTTATTGCGTATTTCTCCATAACTGGGAGGGTGCCAAAACCAACCGATAACTCTTAGGAAAGCCCTCCACGAGATGTTTTCAAAACTACCCTTTTCGGCAGTGGTACCCCCCTACTTGGTAGAGAAATACGCTAACACGGGGGTGCCATCTCTCCGAAATATACGGTATAACTGCTGTATGTTGCTCGGGGACGAGCAGAAAGACAGGTAGGTCTTGTAACACTTCGAAATTCGTGGCCACATTTATCGCGGACTCTTTGCAGATACACTGTAGAGATTAAGTTTTGTTGTATGCCTGAAAGAGAAATAAAAACAGCACACAGGGAAGGTGAAGTGTCGCGACTGGCAAGGGCAGACTTAGATTGGCATTTTGTCCGGTTGCTTGGTAGGGTATGCGAAAGGCAACATGCAAAAAAATAACAGCAACAGCAACACAGCTGAACATCATCGTCATTCACGAACAAGACTGCAACTCGCGCTCGTGCGTGTTCCTTGAAATGGGCCAAGACAAACGTCCTAGTCCCGAGATAGTCCCCAGTCGCGTAAACTCACGCGCAGGCAGCATCGTGTAAAAAATGGCAGCAACCGCCATGGCAAACGCTCAACTCCACCATTGGCGCCAACAAGAACAACGACAACTACAGCAGCAATGGCAACCATAGCAAAGGGACAGCAACAAAAACAACACCACCAACAACGACAACTACACAACAACAACACCACCACCACCACCACCACCACCATCACCCAACAACACCAACAACTCACGCTGGAGTAAATCTCCTGTTTCGGCTCCAGCCCCGACTCGCTGCGCCACTCGAACAGCACCTTGGCCAAGTCCGCCCTGCCCAAGCGCCCGGCAGACATGAGAGCCATCGCAAATGCGGCCTCCGTAGGCTGGTAGCTCTTCTCAAGCATGCGCTCTATCATCTACTGACGAGGCGGGGTAAAAAAGACAAGGACGAGGAGGAGGAAATAGGAACAGCACAGAAGGGAGTGAGCAGGAGGGACAGCAGCAAGAGGGGAGGAAGCAGGAGGAACTACAACAAGCGCGCGCTCTATCATCTACTGACGAGTCCGGGTAAAGCGGAGGACGTGGAGGAGGGGGAAATACGAAGAACAAATTTGAGGGAGTAGTAAGCAGGAGGAGCAACATCAAGAGGGGAGGGAGCATAAGGACAACTCGAAATAAATGCTGTGTCGTACTGGCAACATGCATACCTAAGAACGTGAAAGACGGAAGAAGGAACAAAACAAGAAAGGAGGAAGAACGACAACAGGAAGAGGGGGAGGCGGAAGCAGGAACAATCAAACGTGAGATGAGGAGGAGCAGAAGCAGCAGGGAGGGACGACAAGAAGGGGAGAGGGTAGCAGTAAAGGTAGCAGGAAGAACAAGATCAAGCACAGCGAGACCCAAGAGCTTTTGTACTGGAACGGGGAGAAGAAACACCGTCCGTGGGCTGCGTCCCATCAGGAAAAAGCCTCGCCTTCTAGAAAACCGGAGCAAGCGCCCTCAAACATGAAAGGGGTGATGCTTGCGAACACAAGGCCCTATTCAGCAGTCGATAACCTCTCCGAATTCACAAAACCGCAAGAAAAAACACAGCCTTCTGCATAGTTCGGCAGCTTCCACAGAGACAAAAAAAACGGTGTACCACATAGCTCAGCAGCTTCCACAAGAAAAAAAACACGCATAAAGCCTTTCAGCAACTTCCGACAACAACGCCACCCATCACCTGCAGTACGCCCTCCGTGTCCTTCCTCTGCCACATGAAGGCGATCGCGCTTAGGTGGGCCGCCCTCGTCGGAGTCCAGCCCCTCTCGTCCATCTCCGCAAGTGTTCTGTAAGGTCCAACAACCGTCATCCCGTCCCATCACATTGATTATTAACGAGTGTTGTGCCAAGCTAACAACCATCCCATCGGATGATATTGATTGATAGCAAGCGTTCTACAAGGTCAACAATCATCATCCCGTCCCATCGTATTGGTTGTTAAATAGTGTTAGCCCTCTCGTCCATCTCCGCATGTGTTGTGCCAGGTCCAACAACCGTCATCCCGTCCCATCACATTGATTATTAACGAGTGTCGTGCCAGGTCCAGCAACCATCCCATCCCATCCCATCCCATAACATCCCACAACATCACCCCCGGTTGATACAGCAAGCACATACATACACCGGAAATGTGTGTAGACTGGAATGGATGGGGACGGACACGCACACACGTTGCGCCGTACACAACACACGAACACGCAAACAATGGTTTCTTAAGTCGCTAGACATCAATCAACCAGCGTTCATCTGTTGGAGATGCTTCTCACTCCTGAGAAAAAACACACACACACACACACACACACACATTTGCACGAGGTACGTTGTGTTGGGTTACGACGGGAGTCTGTTAATGGGTTCTTGCGTGATGTACATAGACAGCAGCAGCAAGAACACGAACACAACAGCAGCAACAACAACAACAACAACAATAAGAATACTGTAGCAACAACAACGACTACAGCACTACCACCACCACCACCACCACCACCACCAACAACAACAACAACAACAACGGCAGAAGAAGCAGCAACGACGACGACAACAACAACAACAACGGCAGAAGAAGCAGCAACGACGACAACAACAACAACAACAACGGCAGAAGAAGCAGCAACGACGACAACAACAACAACAACAACGGCAGAAGAAGCAGCAACGACGACAACAACAACAACAACAACACCATTCCCACCACCACCACCACCAATAGCAACAGCCAAACACGTTGGCAGCACTACAGCTGCAGCAGCAGCGATGGTGTCCGCGGCGGCACTGACCTGTACATGTCGTTCGAAGACCCCCAAGCTTGGGCCATAGCCAAGTGAGACAGCGTCAACACATCAGGCTCCAACCCTTTCGAAACCATTTCACGGTACGCCCGCTCCACCTTGGGCAAAGACCGCGCCTGCGCGTACCTGATGGAGTTTGGCATCAAGCACGACAGGAGGGGAAGAGGGATAAAACAATACGCTAACTTTTTATCCATTTCTCTGAAGCACAATCGGGGAAAAGGGGGGGGGGGGTTAAGCCACCACCAAAATGTACGGGGGCGTGCTGCGTTCGTTTCAAGCAAACTATTTCGCGATGAAATCGAAGGCATCGCAAGGACGTGTGTCTACGTTCCAACAGAACCACGCGGAGCGGATACGGTGGGCGTCCCTCAGTAGTGTCGGTTGAGATTGTGCCACTGCCCGGCACGGCGGAAGCGAAACCACGTGACACGGATGACGCAATCAGCTTGTCCCATTCTCTCAATTTTCCCCGAACGCGATAGCGCCGGTGGTCCCGGCGGACACATACCGTCACTATCGAAGGACCCCTGATGACCAGTACCAGTATAAAAATACGTGTTTGCGCCGATACCCAGTGCCTGAGAAGCAGTCCGTGTTAGTTGTATAACAATCGGACACTGGTTTACGACTAGTAGGTTGGCTTCCATGATTGGCACCCGGATTTGAGTCGTGTGTGTGCTCTGAGCAAGCAGGTACACAGATGTCAGGTCTGTATAGCCTACCTTACAGGTTGTTTGCCTACGTGCCCGCCCAAGGTACATTTGGTAGACCAGTGTGCTTACCCCACTTACATACCAGGTACATTTGCAAACCAGTGTTGGGTTGGAATACAATTGGCACGGAAACAAACTTCTCAGGCGCTGGGTATCGGCGTACAGGCGTGAGAATAAGCAGCAACAACGACAGCAAGGCAACAACGTATCATCTTACACGAAAATGATGCCGTTGTACGTGTAGATGTTGGGCACCAGCGAATCCTTCTCGAGCTTCAATAGGAGCTCCTCCAGCACGTCCGGCTTAGCCTTGGTTAACCATCGTTCCATGCCGATCATCTGGCGATATAGAAACAAGAAATACACCACAAGAGAAAAAAGAAGTGAGCTCGGGCAGTCCAAGAACCTTACCCTTTTCCCGAGACGTTTTCTAGAAAAACAAAGCAAATGTCTACAGCAGTAGTAGCGAAGGAATCTTCTCCCACCCACTTATTTTGGAGGGAATGTGAGAGGGGGGTACAAACTGGCCCCAACAATGTCATACCAGAAAGACAGACAGAAAAGTGTACAAGGCTTGGATGCTGCGGAGGTCAGACCCCACGACTTGAGGGCATAGATTGTCGGAAGGCTCCTATCTCACCCCGTTGTCTCTCCGCACTCTTCTGAGTCGTCAACAAGCGGGTCGCGGGTATCGGCCGAAAGGGGGTACACTTCAATCACGCCAGCAGTTCTCCGCGGCGATCTCCCCCCCCCCCCCCAACGAGATTCGCATGATTTTACGGGTGCCCCCCGCGCCCACCCCCGCAACCCGCTTTCTCTTGCAGCAGCGAGGATATTTAAGCTCGTTTTTCGTTTTGGGTTGGGGGCTAGGGGTAGGGTTACGACCCCCCCCCCTCTGTCATCCGTACGCAAGGAAGTAAGCACAAGATGCCGAACACCCTTAGCAGGATGGCAGCTCACCCTTCATGCGACTCGCCAAATACCTCACGGTGCTTCGCGCTTGGTGATGTGAGAGCCTGGTCCGGTGAGAACCCGGCGTGCTCCGTCCCGGCTTTGTAGGGATGCGAGGTCAATGGTCTAATGACTACGCCATGCACGACTATGAGTACACCCCCCTCTCTATTTCATACACAGCAGTCGTGGGTCCGACATAGGAAAGGGTGGTGTGACAAAGGCCCTCGACCCTCAAATATCGGAACCCCCTCTTGTACCAGAATAAGAGGGTACCCAACTGCACTATCGCGGGTCGAGCCCGTGACAACCAATTCCGACCCTCTTAAATCGGAGCTCCCTCTCATAAGGTACCCTCTATGGTACCCTCGTACATCGGAGCCCCGACTATACAACGCTTCATCCCCGCGAAGCAGGCGGGCCTGCTCTTGCCTTGATGACGATGTTGTAGGCGGTGATGTCGCTGATGCCCTCGTTGTGCGCCTTGGTCAGCTTGGCCATTGCCTGCTCCAAGTTGCCCGGTCCCTGAACGGTGCGGATTCTCTTGAGCTTGGACACTAGCTCTTCCTCGGGGGTCCGCGACTCGAACTGGAGGGGGGGGGGGAGGAGCGACGAAAAAGAAACGCCTCAACACACCAGAAAAAAAAATAAGGGTCACCACCACCAAGTATACAAACATGCGGCGTGTTCCGCGACAATGTTTGCTTTCATGCCCACCTCTGAATGGAAACGTGAGTGCGCATCGTTGAGACCAGCAGCGTTAAATTAAGAGGTGTAGAAAAAAAGAGAAAAAAGACAACAACAACAACGAATTGGCTGGGGATGCATTTCAATGAACTTCGCCCAGAGGGTACGCGTGTGAACACACCGTTCATATTTTCTTGTGTTTCACAACTCGAAACATTCCTGAGAACCTCTGGGTTCCCAAGACACCTCTCTCATTTCGTATTGCTTGATAAATCCGCGCCAACTCACGAAAAGCTCTGGCACAACTCTTGGCGGGAGGAGCCGTACTGCTGTCACACGTAACGACGTGGAATTACACCGCATCTATTTTGAGAAGTCGCCTTTTACTGCTGTATCCCAATGATGTATAGGGCAACTTGTGCTGCTCGCGCACGACGCTGGCGATCAGCAGCAGGATCGCAATATGTTCGAGATGATCACGACTTAAGCTTTGATGAACCCGAGCTATGGGATGATGCGCGATTTCAGTCATCATCAGCAATCGGGCCATAGGACCTCCATTCGGTGCTCAAGCAAGCCGGTGGCAGCGCGCTACCTGGGCTGTTGCACGCAAAACTCCAAAGTGAGGGAGATGAACATCCCAATCGTCTCGCCGTTCGTTTACTACTACGGCAAGCACTTGGTTGGTACCTATACTGCTGTGGTTGACACGCTCTACTCTACACCGGTCACTGCCAAAGTTATGAGCAAGTCGCCACTTTACGCATCCGGAGACGTTAGTAGACAGTGTGCGACAGTTTCGGTTTTTCGAAGGCGGGAGCGGGGGGTCAAAGGTGGGAGCTGACAAGACGGGCGGAGCCTCGGCGGGCACAGGACAGCCCGGCCACAGCAGCAACGGGTGGATGGGTCGCGCGGCCGTGTGCCTGGCCCGAAGGGCGCTCCGCAGGAGCTCCACCTTTGCCCGCAGCCCAGGGTTGTCGCATGCCGCACGCACAGCGTCTTAAAAACCGTCGCTCCCGCGTACGGGCGACGTTCATCAGAACGCGTTCACGATCAGCGTGCCAAAAGTTATAATTGTTCAGACCGCGCCTTTGCAGACAACATTCCACCCGCAAACACCTAAATCGAAATCGAAATCGATTCGGTGTTTGCGGGGGGAATGTGGTCTGCCAAGGCGCAGGCGAAACAACACAACTTTTGGGATTCTGATTTGTGAAACGCATTCTGACGAGTGACGGTTCCAAGACGCTCTGCGTGCCGCACACGACAACCCCGAGCTGCGGGGAAAGGTGGAGCTCCTGCGGAGCGCTCTTCGGGCCAGGCACACGGCCGCGCGACCCACCCACCCGTTGCTGCTGTGGCCGGGCTGTCCTGTGCCCGCCGTGGCTCCGCCCGTCTCGTCAGCTCCCACCTTTGACCTCCCGCTCCCGCCTTCGAAAAACCGCAACAACGTGTCTTGTTACTTCACGCGCAATGCCTGTATGTACGCCGAAGTAACACCACGAACCCGGTGGTTGTTATCCCCGGCACACCGTCCGTCATCGTAATGGAGGCCAAGGAACGAACGGTCTTGCAATCGATTCGGCACACTCGATGCCTGCAGAAGCCACAGGTACTGCTGTACACATAGTCAGCACACAGAGCACGTTCCGGACGCACCCAAACCAAACCCGCGCTCCAACTATGCATTGCGTGTAGCAAGTGTCGTCCACACATGAGTTTATGCTTCCGCAACGGCAGGTTGCACAGCTTCAAATGCGTACAAAGAGAGCTGTGTAAATTTATTTCTTCTAAACCTTCAATCTTGCCATGGGGCAATCCGAGCGGTACAGAAGATGCACAGCATACAGTATGACGAGTAGTGAGCGCGCACGAGAAAGGACGACTGCTGTTATGTATCTATAAAATACAAGCATGTTCGCCGCTCTCCTGCGGCGATATTCCGGCTACCGTTGGTGACATAAGATACCACACCCCCTGCGTCGATTTTCAAAGCCCACCACGAAAAGGATGCAAAAAGCAAACGACGTGTTTTAGAAAAGCTCTCAACGAGCCGGTTCCAACGCCACCATTCTCCACCCCACCACTCTTTCATGCTGTGAGTAGGCCACCACTCTTTGATGCTGTGAGTACATACGTAGTCGAGCTCTAAAAATTGGTCCAGGGGGTGTGATATCTCACGTTGCCAACGGTACGTGTTGACTGCACATGATGAGATGCTTGCGGAACACTCACGTCGCCCTGGTCGGGTGATTCACCACCCTCCTCCTCCTCCTCCTGATTTTCTCCTGTTTCCTCCACCACCATCGCCCTTGATGCGTACTCCACGCCATGTTGCACTGGGTCTGTACCAGCTCGTGCTGCTGTTGTTGGTGCTGCCGCAGCCGACTCCCCCCCCTGCTGTTCAAATGCTGTCGCTGGGGAGTGACTGCTGCTGCTGCAGTAGGTCAACTCTCGTGCTGCTGCTGTGGCGCTCGATCGTCCAACCTTACGTAGCGCAAAGTCTCGCACGCCTTGCGCGGCCAACGACCGCACCCGAAGCATGCTCTCGGCGCTTGCAGCCTTCCCTTCCTTCAGCTGTCCTTGGGCTTCTGTGTGCTTCAGTTGTTGCTTGTTGCTGTGCTGACCACGCAGTATCATCGAAAAAGACCCCCCCCCTACAATTGTATGTAGAAAAATGTGGATGAAATCGATACATCTGTAGGGCCTCTCACGTACTCACTCTGCCACACATCATGCATGCATAGGCCGTAGGTTAGAGAGGGAGCTATGCTTCGCGCGGCCGCGCAGGGTGCGATTAGCGCCGGTGGGTCAAGGTCTGCTCGAAATGCAGGGGTTAGAGCAGCACCTAGGGTCTGGGCGCGGGATTTTGGTGACAAAGCACGAGCGGGTTCCATGGGAGGAGCAAGGCAACATAATGTCGTCGGCAGGCAGCAGCAGCAGCAGCAGCAGCAGCAGCGATGGGTGACCAACAGCGGTAGGAGCCATGGCTGGGCGCGTGCGACGGGGATACCGACACGGGAAGGCAACGAGGATGTCTTGGCCGCACGACCGGATCTAGAGGTGAGAGGCGTGCGAGAGTGTCCGCGTCTCTTCTCGGTGGTGGTGTCCCTGAGGCCAGCGGGACTCCCCCCAAGCCGTACAAAGCTGTGCGTTACCACCCAGAGCACTGCTGTCCATGAGCACGCCAAGAGGGCCTTGTTGTGTTCGGTGCCGGTATCAACGTTTCTGCGCGCTTGCTCCAGTTCATTCGCCTGCGGAATTAGCATGCTATCCGTGCAACGAACAACAACATCGTACGACTACCATGGATTGCGGAAGATACCACACCCCGTGGACCGAATTTCGAACCTGTTCTTGTCGAGCCAGTTGCCCAGAAGGGATATCGCTGTGCGCCGCTCAAGGAACCGTAGATATACGGGTTTGTCACACCGTACAACGCAATGAATGCATCCATTGCTAATCTTCCACGGACTCTTATATGTGGCAGGGATGGTTTGTGTTCTTTCTAATAAGAAGTAAAATATATAGGAAGTCGGTTATTGTAGCGTTCCACGACGACGGGGAGGATGCCGACATCAAATGATACATTTTCGGAAAGCTCTCGGCGAGATAGCTGCAACGCCGCCATTTCCGGCAGCGTCACTAAATAACTTGTTTTTCCTGCCGAGTCATCGAGCTTCGAAAATTGATCCAGGGGATGTGATATCTTGCGTCACCTACCGTAATCATTTTCCCGGCCGTACATAGCCTAGCGCACTTCCACCTTGTGGTGCTTCCTGCTGCTAGCCAGGCGGTCCAGGGTGGTATGTAGCCTTCACCAACTGTCACGGCCAGAGTCGCTTCGCGGCACGTCTCGTTCAGCTCCAATGACGAGCATTGTAAACGCTTCGTTGGCACCAAACGCTGACAATATTGACAGTGAGGGCCGCCACCATGTTGGGGTCGAAACTGCAACAGATGGGCGTGCCGATGCGAAGCCACTTTGATGAAAGTTTTGGCACTTTGCAGGGGTGGCAACTAAATCTAACATTTGAACAAGACACAGATTTTAGGTAGAGGGTGAATAGAGATACAAACACCTGAGCCATGGCATTCACAGCGAGTACGGTCCCGTACCCCGAACAGGTTGATAAATCGGTGCGCAGTATGTGTGGTCTTAGTGCATAGGGTACAACTCCCGCCGCGGGTTTCCCCCCAGAGGCAACATTTTCAACCACGTTTTTGGTTCGGTCCTGGAGATACCACCCCCCCCCAACAGCAGTACCGGTGCAGGGGGGGTATTTGCTGCATACTGCTCGGAGATTGGTAGAAACACAGGCTGGTCACGAACACTTCAGAATTATTTGCTCGTTTCTCCAGATGAAATTTCGTCTTGTTCTTGTGAGAAAAAAAATGAAGATCGCCGTATGCGTGTCACCACCCACGCTTCTATTAGCTCGTTTTGGCTTTTGGCGCACACACGGTACAGAGCACATCGCTCACGAGAGTGTTACCTGCTTCACACTTCAGAGGGGGTCCCTGTTGAATGCCGGTATCTGCCCAGAAAATTCACCGGGACTGCAGTGGCACTATACCGGACCGGCACAATTCAAAGCACTGACAATGACTTGGATAATCAGTGTGTGCCCACCGAAAACACCAACACTATACTGGGCACCGGCACTATTCAACCGGCACTAAACAGGGACCCCCTCTGTACCACGACACGACAGCAAGTGGCATTGTACACGGTATCTACGACGTAGCACTAGGATCGCACCCTGTGGGGCGTTTTCCGCCCGCTACATATGTTTGCGAGGGTCAGTTTGATGGTGGGAGTACCGTTCTCAAGCTTGTACGTAGACATGCACACAGGTAGGTAAGCTTCCACCTCGCGTCCGCCACCTACTCTCTCTCCAGGCATGTCCAACGTGCGAAGGCTGTTGTACGTCATGAAATGTGTCGGATCCCTCAGCCTACTTCTTGAACCGTCAAGGTTCGGTTACCCACAAATGCTGCTGTACCTTCCCTCTTCCTTCGCTCGCCGGCAATTCTGCACGCCCCCCCCCCCCGCTCTCGAAGACGCGTGGCCGATGGCCTAACCTCTAAGGCATGCAAAACATGAGTACCCCCCCCCCCCCCCCGACCGCCCCATTCTCGATGTCCTTTGTCTCTAATCCGGCCTGGTTCTCCCCCCTCTTGTTTGCCCTCAACGCGTCTCCCCTGTGCGCTCTTCCTGTCGCAAACACGCGGATGGACAAAAATCACGCAGCGTCACGGCACCCCGGCGGCGATGCTTACGACGCGACTGAGGAGAATGTTCGCCAGCAACGGCAACGGACCTTGGTGGCTAGCGGTGCACCTGCTGGAGAAAGGCCGGCAGAACGGCATCAAGGATGTCAAAGTTTACAACACCGTGCTAAAGGCAAGTCCGACCCCCCCCCCCCGATGACGTACTCTCCTTGCGCGCCCTCTTCCCACGCCGCTATCCCAGCGAGGCATGTTTGTATCGCGTTGAACACCCCAGTATTGTCTTCCCGGGGTATGTACAAGAATAGGAAGAACATAGCAAGCCGACGGGTGCGTTGCAGGAGGGCAAGCTTAAGGGATTGAAGACAAGCTGTTTGACGCTGGCTCTATTTTCATGGATAAATCCGATACAAAGAAAATAAGGAACCTTCCCGCCGTTTAGGTTCTATGCAATCTACTCTTATCAGTAGAGGACACCATGGAGTGGCGTCCTGTGTGCTGGCACGTTCAGGTTTGCTACTGGAGCTGAAATATGTAAGGTCGGGACTCTGAAAACAGTCCGTAACTCGGCGCCGGAACCCAACGTTTGTCACAGCCGTTCTCACCGCCACGCTCGCTAAACCCCTTAGCGGAGGGTCATCAGCAGTAGCTAATGGCATGAGCTAGTGTATGTAGTCAAGCCATAGTTGAGGAGATTGGGGTCAGTGGCGGCGAGCACAAGCAGTACAAGACACAGGGTTGCGGTCCAATTTGCGGAGATTTGCGGAGATTGTAGGCCGCTACTACTGTAAGACCCTCGATATAACCATCCCCAAGAAGCAGGTTTGAGCGCGCCAACACCCCCCCCCCCGCTGCTATAGGGTGTCGTATAGTGATATCAGTAGAATGCATAGAATCTAGTGCAAAACCGACCTTGTTTGAGGGCCTGCCGTTTTGGCTCTTTGACTTGAATATAGAGTGGAGTTCATTTTATCTTGATTTCAAAGGAGGCGTGTGGAGGTAGACACGTGAAGTGTCTGTTTAGAGCAACCTCTACTGCCGTCGTGTGCGAGAATCAACGATTTCTGTTTTTCGAGATGCCTTCCAACTGGCCTTGTGTGTCTCTTGTGCACTCTCTGGTGCTTTTGCGTCTGTTTTTAAAAATGGTCCACATCAAAATTCCTTGTCTGCCATCCCTGAAGGATAGTGAATGAGCAACATTCGGTGGTCTGTACGCCATCTGCACCGATCAAGCCGCAAACCGTTGTGCGGTCCTTTGGATTAGTAGTAACACTTGATGTAATCGGTTATCCATTGATGCACGACGATTTACAACCCTTTCGCTGCCGACTGTTGTATTCGTTGCTGACACATTCTGCTGCTGCTGCTGCTGTGACCGCAACTCGTTGGCAGATGATAGCCACGGACGAACGTATGACGGAGGACAAGATGAAGGAGATGGAGCGGCTCTTCGAGCAGATGACGGAGGACGACGAGCTCGAGCCTGAAGCTCTAACCTACAGCCACCTCATCTACGGGTGAGCGTTTTTTTTTTTTTCATCATCCTGTAGCAATGCTTTTTTTATGTACCTCGTTTGTCTTGTCCCGAGTCTTGGCGTCGCAGGGAATATCGTCCCTCTCACGAGGGCCTGCTTTGGTGTTTCTCACGAGGGCCTGCTTTAGATAGCGCTTTGTGCCGTTTTTTGCTTGATTTTTCTACTCGGCAGCACGCGTGCCTGTGTTCTATTTCGGTGTGTGCTGTTGAAGCCGAAATCAAACCATTGGTCAACGGCTGACTCGTTGAATGGTTTGATTTTGGCTTCTCTTGTGTGCAACTTGTTGATGAAAATTAGCGTGTGGTTCCCCTTTGCGCGAGGACAGATACAGCCAGGGTAGAAAAGAAGGGGAGGCGGTACGACTGCTGGAGGAGATGACCGTCAAGGGCCTACAGCCCGAACGAAAGACCCTGTCCAGCATGATAGTCGCGCACTCCTGGGGCTCCGTGGAAGACATGCGGAGGTGAGCTGGGGACGGCCGGGTTGGGTTGGGTTGGGTTGGGTTGGGTTGGGTTGGGATGGGTTGGGATGGGATGGGATGGGATGGGATGGGATGGGATGGGTTGGTTTGAGTTTGGTTGGCTGCGAGAGAGCTCACAGGGTAAGATAATAAATTCTACTCGCGAGACTACGAGGTGCCACTGCGTGGGGTGAGCAGAAGGTCGCCTATTCACGACAGCAGCAGTTACAGGGCCAGGGAGAGCACGCTCTACGACAAGTTCCGGCCAGGACAAATGGGCTTCGACCTCCCCCAGAATCTGGAATAATAAAATATTGTCACAGATTGCGATACGAAAATTTCGAAAAATCACAAAATGTATTCTTCCAAGCATTACTGCTGTAACGCCCTGTTTTCCTGCGCGCTTATTGGGTCCGCCGCCAACCCAGAGTGTCGTCGGAGATGCGGGAGAAGGGATGGACGCCCACACAACGGGCGAATTCGGCCATGATCGGGGCGCTCCGGCGAGCCGAGGATTGGGAGGGGATTTTAGATGTGAGACTCGAGGGTTTTTGTACACAGTTTTTTGCAACAAGCGAGCTTGGTCTTATCGGGACGGAGTTTTAGCTGCAAGGCTTGAGGATTGTTGTGTTGCAAGCGAGGTTGGTCTACAGGTTGGGGAAGGAAATTCGGATGGAAGTCTTTTGGAGAAGTTGCTATGGACGACGAATTTGAACGGAGGAAGGGACAAGCTGGTCCATGCATGATTGTTCCGTCCCCCCTCCCCTCCCCTGCATGACCTGGGCCGGCGAAAACCCGCCATATCGCTCGGCCCCGGCATTTTAGGGATGCGAGGGTCTACCTACTATGGCGTGGAGCCTTTCATGAGGACACTACCCCACTGGGGCGTAGGAAGTGGGCTGAAACGGCGGGAAGTGATATCGATGGGATAGTTAGGAGCAGGGACGACATTACTTAGCCACCTTTGGCAAAGCAATAAGGAACGATTGGCCATCGGTGATGGGTCCTCCGGGAACAATGCTCCGTCCTCTCGAGGACGCGTGGCCAATGGCCTATCCGCTAAAAGGCATGCGACACATGCCTACCCCCCGCTACTTTGACCCCGCGGGGCTTTTGAATGTTCCCCCATATTTAATTTGTTGCTGCGGGTGCGATGGAACAGACGACGAGAGCAATGCTGGAGAACGGGCAGACGATGACGGAGGCCGGTCTGGTGGTGGCCATCAAGGCCGCCGCTAACGCGGGCAACGCCGGCTTCGCCAGGGAGCTCCTGCTGACCCATGGCAAGAACAAGCACCGCCCGCAAGAGCAGCTCTACGTCTGCGTGAGTTTGGAACGCTGCTACGTTGACGCTCTCTGTGTGTGTCTGCCGCGCTCTTGTGTGTCTGCAGCGCTCTTGTGTGTCCGCCGCGCTCTTGTGTGTCTGCCGCGCTCTTGTGTGTCTGCCATGCTCTTGTGTGTATGCCGCGGGGGAGATCAGCGGGGGTAGCCTTCAGATTGCTGTTTGTGAGTCTGGGGGGATGGGGTAGGAAGGCTTACACGGCCTGGGCGTTTGCTGAGTGTTGTTGTTCCCTGTTCTCTACCGCGCGTGCGCGTGTTGTGGTTTGAAATGCACGGCGGTGTTTGAGTATCTACTGGCCGTGCTGCTGCTGCTGCTGCTGTGGTCTTCCTTTGATACCCTCTTGTGTGTAGGTTAGACTGCACCCTCCCTCCTTCTCTGTCTCTGCTGTAGCTGCATCGGCGTTTCGCCACGAACTCTTTTTTCTGTATGTCGAAGAGCTTGTTTTTTTTTCTCTCGCCACGGACGCTCTCTCCTTGGTCTTTGCCTGCGTGAGTTTTTGTCCTCCGTGTGCTTCTGTAGCACCTTATTTTGACGTTTTTCCTTTACACAACACAAGAAAGGTGCCTTGATTTTTGCTTCTTGTCACCACAAGGCCCTGATGTATCTGATTCTTTTTTTCTTCTTTTTTGCTGTCCTCTTTGTTTTTTTAGGTCATGGTGGCCTTGAGAAACGCCTGCCAGCACGAAGAATGCCTGGCCTGCTGGAGAGAGCTGGTGCTGCTCGATGGCCTCGGTGATGTTAAGCTCAACGGCAAGACGTACAACCTTGCCCTGACGTCCGCGGTGAAGATGGAGCGTTGGGACGAGATGGAGGCGATTTTAGACATGATGCAGGTGCCCCATGACTAATGTTTTTGGTGGTGGTGGTGGGTGTTGTTGGTGACGATGTTGGTGCTGGTGTTGTTGTTGGTTGTTGGTTGTTGGTTGTTGGTTGTTGGTTGTTGGTTGTTGGTTGTTGGTTGTTGATGTTGTTGGTTGTTGGTTGTTGGTTGTTGATTGTTGGTTGGTTGTTGGTTGTTGGTTGTTGGTTGTTGGTTGTTGGTTGTTGATGTTGTTGGTCGTCTTAAACGGCTTCTGCAGTTATTGCGGCTGCTGTCGGTAATGGTGTCGTACGGCGTTGGTGGCAGTGATGGTGTCGGCGATGCTACCAATGTTACCGTATTAGCCGATGATGGTGCAGGCGAAAAATGTCCGAACAGTCGCCCACCTGCTTTCTCGCGCGCTGATCACCAAGCTCCGTGACCCTGACTTCCCCCACCCCGAACTTGCAGGCGAAAGCGGTAGAGTCCACGGTAGCCACGTGGCGGAGCATGGTAGACGTGTGGAGCGCCGAGGAGACGGGCGACGAGGGGCGTCTTGATCGGATCTTCGGTGAGATTCACAGGAGACAGTGGCGACCGGACAGAGCTGTGGGGCTGCACGCGGCTATGGCGTACGCGAGGTGCAGGGCATGGGTCAAGGCGATGGCTTGGTTCGACCCTGCGGTGAGTGCTTCTTGCCCCCCCCCCCCCCGGGGGGTGCCCCGCATCGTGTTACCACCCACCCACGGGCAGGATGCAGCGCACCCTCCATGCGACTCGCCGATCCCTCAAGGCGTTTGATGTGACAGCCTGCTCTGCTGAGAACCCGGCGTGCACCGTCCCGGCTTTGTAGGGACGCGAGGTCAATGGTCTAACGACTACAAGGCATGCACGGCTGTGAAGTACCCCCGCCCCCCGTGGGTGCCCCGCAATATGTGTCACTGAGTTAGCTAGCGTCGCCCGCGCTACACCTGACCGACTCTTAGTGAAACATTGTCATGGGGTGACAAGGGAGAAGAACACGGACGCGCCTCCTACGGCTGTGTGTTTCTTTTTCCCCAGCAGGAGCACGAACTGCATCGTCTGACCAATGACAAGACGGTAGAGTGTAACGTGTGTTTCAATTAGAAGCGATCGCGCCGCCCAATGAGTGGACGTCAGTCTAAGCGGGGGCGAGAAACACGGGAGAGACTTCTATGCTTCTCGGAAGTGAGTGTTAGCATCTACAGCGCTGTGTGGCCAACCAATTAACAGGCGTCAGCGATTGCCTTCGTTCTTTTGTCCTCGCATTTATGTAGTATTTTGGCGTACTTCCTGTTTTTATTTTATTTGTTTTTCCGCACCGTGCAGCTGGCAGAGGACAACAAGCTTGGTCCAAACGAGACAGAGCTCCTGGTAATGTCGCTGGCGGGGGTGGAGAGGTACGGGGAGGTGAAGGAGGTTTGGACGCGCAACACAGGCTCCAAGGTAAGTCTTTAACCTGGCCACGTTTACCCCATGGTAGATATATGTGACTTCTGTGATTTCCCGTTGAACTGCTGTGGGTTCCCGTTGTCTCTGAGAAGCACGCTCCTGCTTGAGAGGCGTGTCCAAATGTTCCTCCGCACTGCTGTTCTGCGGATCGCCACGCGTCACTGCTGTATGCCCGTGTTCCGAGATACCCCGTCCACTTAACAGACTTAATCCTACGTGTCCTCATGTGTGTACTGCAGCTGCATCTTTCTGCAGTAATGGTCCCGGTAGTTGCTACATGTAGCCCCTTGAACCGGTATTCTAGCGGGCAACCGGCATTATTCGCAGTATGAAAACACAACTTGAATATCCCATCTGTGTCGGACGATGTCACCGGCATTACACAGGGCAACCGGCATTATAGCGGGACCACTACAATAGTGCTGTAATGCCGATATGCCAATGCTACCTATGTTTTTTTTTTTCTCCCATCATTGGACTCTGTCGTCTGCCCCTCTGGCCCCCATCCTCCACTTCTACTAGCTAGACGACCCAACCGGGGTCACATAGGAGGGGGGGTTGGACCCCCTCCTGCGGTTCCTGCCTGAGATATTTTTATCGCGAGAAGGGTACAGCAATCCCTTCCCTCGTGAACAATGAAGTCGATCTAGTTTACTAACAACGAGTTTTGCAACGCGTCGCTTCCAACTTAGACCAGGAGGTTATGTGTGGTCGTTTGTTTCGCACTTTTTATGTAGGACGCGAGCGTATTCCGGCCGGCGGTGTTGCTGACGATGGCCGAGGCCGCGCGGGAGCTGGACGACGCGGACTGGGCTTTGGAGTTGCACTCTGTGGCATCGTCGAGGAGGGGGGCGGGGGTAGCCGCCCCGCGCTTGTGGCAGGACGTGGTGGGGGTGCTGACGAAGGCCGGGAGGCTGGAAGAAGCTGCGGATGTCTTGCAGGTGAGGACTGCCTTTGTGTTGTTGTTGTTGTTGTTGTCGTTGGCGGTGGTGGTGTGTAGCAGTTGTTGTTGTTGTTGTTGTTGTTGTTGTTGTTGTCGTTGGCGGTGGTGGTGTGTAGCAGTAGCAGTTTTTGTTGTGGTGGTTGTTGTCGTCGTCGCCGTTGTAGGCGTGTTGGTGTTCGGGGTTGCCTTCTTTTGTTGTTGTTGCTGATGTGGTTGTGTTGTACTTGTAGCTGCCATGCCGTGCCGTTGTGTTCCAAGTCCTAGGGAGGGATAATTGAGTCCATGCGTGCGATGATCCAACCAGGAAGTCGTCCCAAGAGTACAGAAATTTCTGGAGGGCGTGCCATGGGCTACCTGTTGTAGCATGAGCAAGAGCCTGGCCGGGGTTGCGGGACTCGATAGGCAGGGTGCTGACACAGAACGGTTAAGCACTTTCGGAAATCTCCTACGTGTACCATATGATGTTTCCCAAAACGGACCTTTTCCTTTCGACACTGGCTCTCAATCCTCCTCCTCCTCCTCCTCCTCCTCCTCCTCCTGTTGGGGCGTCACGGCGTCTCTCCAATTTGTCGTTAAACTCTTCTCTTGGGAAGTTGTGCCTTCTAGGGTTTCGTAGAGAGCGGCGGATTAACGACCGAGAGGTATAGGCGAAACGCAACATGAAGATACCGATATGCATACAAGGCGAGACCCCCCAGTTTTCCCCTGCTGCTGCTGCCCCCCCCCCCCGCAGCAAACAAGACCGGGAGATTGCGCGCCCTTGGAAACACCGGTAACTCGGGAGACCATCTTGAGCGCGTTTAGCGACCTCGCACATCCCGCTGTGGTGTCGGCGTTTGTGGAAGAGCTTCGCGCGGCGGTGAGTTACACGGCAGCGAGTCTTTCGTCCTGGCTTTTTTTTATTTTTCTTCGCCGTACGCGCGTTATTATCGGAAGGCAAGCACCGCAGGAGGGGAGGGTTGGCGGACTCAAGTAGGGAAAACCCTTCCGTGTGATTGACTGACCACGGATTGGACCTACCTCCTACCCGCCAGAAATGCTCTCTGTGTGTGATCGCTGATGTAAAGTGATGTCGAAACGAATGATTGCGTCTGTTTTATTTTTAGCCCAAGGGTGGCGGTGTGACCTCCGAGTTCCACGTCTTGGAAGAATGTTCTGCGTGCTCATGCGCACTTTCATGGGTGATTTCATGGGTGAAAGCTTGCTCCCGCTGTGGGCAGGGTGAAGGTGTGCTTCGTAATCGTACTATTTTCACAGGTACCGTGAAATTTCCGCTCTTCTCCGACATGTTGCAGTCCTCTTGTAAAAGCTGCATGGCACGCGCGTTTGGGTTTGTTTGGTCCATGGGTCTGAGGTGTCGCGCTGCTGTTGCTTTCGAACCGAGAAAGAGAAGCATCTGTATCATACCTTTCCTGTGTTCACCGCCCGTAGCCTAGTGCTCATTGACTAGCTTTTGCGACAGTCAACAGATGCGCTTGGTTGCCCCCCCCCGGCGTACATGACAGAGGATCCCGCACGTGCCAGGTGTCTCTGTTTTGAGGAGGATGGACACTATACAATTGTTGACCGTATGACCTTCAGGAAAGCCAAACCATGTTCGTGGTTGATGACCGTATGACTTCAGGAACGCCGAAATCATGTTCTGTGTACCCCTCTCAACCCCCTCTTCCGACGGACCTTGGCCATTACCCAGGGCTACGAGCCTGACGCAGCACACCTCGCAAGCTTGGGGCTGGAGAAGGCTCCTCCGGCGGGGCCGGAGGAAGGGGCGCCGCCGTTTGCGGCGGAAGGGGGGGGATCATGACCCTGGAAGACACGGCGGCACCCCGAACAACAAACGACGGGCGTCGTCTGGCCTTTTCGGCGAGCCACCGCTGCTGTGCTTTGATGCCAGCAGTGTGTTCCTGCCCTTGAAGCAAGCCATAGGAAGGCGCGCCTAGACCCCACATTTGTCTTTTTCTATGATTTTGCCCCTTTGCGGGGCGGGTGGCGGGTGGCGGGTGGCTAGACGTCGCTTGTGTGGTCACGAGCGTGCAGCGAGAATTTCTCGCGAGACGTTGGAGGTTCTTGTCTGTTGCTTCTTTTCCCGCGGTTTGTCGCAGTTACTGCCGTTCGTTGGAGCGGTGGAAGGGTATGTCTTGCCCTTGTGAGCTACAAGTTAACTTTTAAGAGCACAATGCCGCCGCAGCAAGGGCGTCGCAGCAAGGGCGTCGCAGCAAGGGCGTGGCGTTCTTCACGACGGGGGGGTTACGCATGAAATATCCCTTCTCTGTTGACGCGTTCTTAACTTTCCGAATAGATGTCGACGTCACAGAAGAGACGCCCACCCAAGAGGGCGGACGCAGGGGGATGCTGTCAAATCCTGTCTGCGCTTTACGATTTTTTGTAAATGTACACCGTTTTCTTTTTTTTGTCGCACGCTGGCCGCGCAGGCTAGCTTTGTTTCGTGCTCGTGCTCGTCCCGTGAAGGGCTTACACCTACGTGAAACGTTTACATTTGCTGTGTGAAATATGCTGTACCGACAGTTTCGCATCCAGACTATACGCAAGATGCTATTGCAGCAGTGTAAACATGTGGCCTTGTCTCTTTGACTTAGAGGACAAACTACTGGCCCGGTTTTGTCTCAAGCAGTGAGCGACCATGGGTATGCTTCGACAATCAATCTGGAGCAGCGGCAATCCCGCGCCTCTGCGTCTCCGCTGCTGACTGCACAATAGGGTTTCTCTCCGCCTGACCCAGGTGCCAAGAATGACCTGCCCGTGCTACAGTACGGCCTCAAGCGCAAGCACAACGTCGGTTTCAGTTTTGATCTTTTCTTTTCCATCCCATTGTAGGCCATGGCTAGCCATGGCTAGCACTCTGCACCTGTCGTACTTGTACGGCCTAACGACCACTCGGCAGCTGGAGCCACAGGGAGAATCTGTCTACGACACACGTCTTCAGTTTGTTGTCGTTGGAAGGGTTCCGCAGCGCTTCGGGAGTGACATTCGGCGCGTGTACGTTCCTGTCCTGTACGCAACAACGGCCTCTTTGAATGCTATCAGCGGACTACATGTAGACGCATGATTTTTTTCGCCTGTTTTTTTTCGTCACATAATCTGTTGTGGGCGAAAGTTCACACATCCCGATATCTACATGTTTTCACGATGTCGATCCACGCGCAAATACGCTCGGAAAGAAACTAATGGTGGTCTTCATATTCGCGCACGCATTATGCCTTGGGAACACACTGCTGCAGCAGTAGTCACTTGACCAAGTGTGACCAACGACAGAAAGGCGTCCGGGTTAATTGGACCTAGGGAGAGAACACCGAGGTTTGCGAAGATTCCGCCCCTTGGTCGTGCAGTCTCGATCTTCCATGTTTAGCAGTACCTGAGCTGTAGATGACCGCCGGCGGCCGTTCTAAAGAAAGACACGACCGAGGCGTTTGTCGCGCAAATTCGCTGGAGGCGAGCGTTCTAAAGAAGATACGACCGAGGCTTTTGTCGGGCAAATTCGCTGAAACGGAACGTTCCTCGGACCGTACCTCATCTCTCAACCGCTATAATAATTGCGCCGCATCTTCACATGTGATGTGTGAAGAGTGCATAGAGTCAAGAGCCCCCACAAACCACAACGAGCTCCCACACCCGACCGAGGAAAGCGACCACCGCACCCCGCATCGCACCACTCCGAGGACGCCAACCGCTGCCGACCGTACACAAGTGGTAAGCCACAGCGTACATGCCCGCTGTCAAGCGCGGCCTAGTTGTATATCTATCTGTGGAACACTTCCAGGCAGGTACTGCTGTAGACTAAATCTCACTCCGACACGAAATTGCTCCGATAAACGAGCCAAGGGCCGAAGCAACAGCGCGAAGAGCAGTAGTGTCTGCAGGGGACGAGCCGTATGTTCATGAGGCACGAGCCGCATCTTCATTGCTGGGCCTCGGGACGGGAGGCTCGAGCCTTGGGCGTGAATAATTTGATACATGATCATTCATGCAAATTCGCGCAATGTCAAACTGCCTTCCCTTCTGGCTTCGGACCATCAAAGGTTTGCTGTGATACATCAACCATCTCACCTCTCGCCAAGCCTTTTGTCCTCCTTGACACTTGACACCTGTATTGCTGTATATCTCCCATAGAACCTTGGCAATCTCTCCGTCTAATGTCTCTCTCTCTCTCTCTCTCTCTCTCTCTCTCTCTGAATCATGAACGGCGAACTTTCTGATGGAGGGAAAATTTCTCGACCTACACATGTACATGCATGCATGATGCGCTGACTGCTTGCTGCTGTAGAGCTCGCAAGGGTGCACATACGCGCCGATTCAGCTCGCCAAGTTGCCCCATCCCCATAACCCGAAACCCCGAACCCCTAACTACAATTCCTGGCCTCTTAGACACAACCTCGAGCTTTCCGGCCCTTGCATTTACCCTCCCTCGCCTTTCAGTGCGCTAGGACCCACGATGAGCTCGTCACCAACAAGCAAACGACGAATTAGCAGCGAGGCTTTGTATCTCGGTTCCAAGTCCGTGAGACTCGGCCTGTCGCTTCACACCCCACCCCCCTATGTCTCATCTTTGTTGTTGTACCCCACCCTGACAAGATGCCATCGGCGTGTGGTCAGCGCCGATTGTGGCCAGATTATTGCTACGAGTCCTTGGGCATTTCTTTCTCTTGCGCAAGCGATTCTATTCTTCTTACGCTTCCTTCAGATAGGCACTCAGAAGGCTCCTCGGTACAATTTTTGTAAAGGGAGATAAATATAAACTAAATAGGTGTTTGATTTAATTAATTGTTTTTGGGTTTGGGGAGTACATGTGTAATTAATTGTTTTTGGGTTTGGGGAGTACATATTTAATTAATTGTTTTTGGGTTTGGGGAGTACATATGCATACAGACCTACAGGTCCGTGTGTGGGGAAGTGTATTCATTCGTGACATGTTCCGCGATAGATTGCGGGGAGTCTTGTAAGTAAGTGTGCCGGCGAAATCGGCCTGTCCGTACGGTAGGATGAACACGGCGAAGCACTGCTCGAACGAAATGCGCATATATATCCTGCCTGAATCTGATTCATTCATTGATTTACACGAGCAATGCTCGATGCTGTTTGATCCACCAATTTGGTTGCCTGAGCATGTCGGTGATGAGATTTATTGCGTCACTGTCAAGATGAAGGGACTTCTCGTTGTATTGGTCCTGCGGGCGTTGTTTCTGACTGTGCAACGCTGTTCAACACATAAAAACTACCCGTAGCCCTGTGGTGCGGACGGCCATGTACTTTCAACATCCATCCTTGGATATGCAGGTTGTGTCCATGATTTACGGTGGGCTGTGTTGTGCTGCTCTTGAATTCTTCAAGGTGCCCTGAAAACTTGAAAACCTTATCAGGCAAGGGTTCAGTCTGTGCACAACGAACTCCCCCTTGCCACAGTCGTTGACGCTCTCTTCCTTTCAAATGAGAGCTCCACATAATTCACACCGGTTATTGCGCTCGTGATATAAATTTGACGTTGCACGGACAACGTTCCAGGCAACCGCATGTCCAAATCCCCAAATCTCGATGGCAAGTTGTTGTTGTCAGTTCGAGTTGCGCCAACAATACCCGCGATCCTCGTTCGGAAATGTGCACGTGCATTTACCTATCAACAAGATACACGAACCCATGAGAAACGTTCGGGTGTGTCATCTCGCATCACACGCTCGGAAGGCGTGACAGCCACGCCCCGAGGGGAACCTTGTACATGAAAGTGGAAGAAGCGGTGCCACTGTTCAATGGGCTCCTAGAGAGCCTCCCTCTGTTCACCCTCACCCTGCTGGGTGTTAGTCGCAGGAACTAGACCGTAGGTGATATCACGAATCCTTGCCACACTTCGCGCCCTGCCTTCCACCTACACTCACGTTTTCGTGGCCTCTCGCCCCGCCCAGGACATACACGATCATGGGCTCTACCCGCGCCGCCGTTACTAAGAGGCCTGCCGCCGGAGTCAAGAAGTCTGCCGCCGCTAAGAAGACCGCGGTGTCCAAGAAGAAGCCCGCGGCGACTGCTGCTGCTGCGAAGAAAAAGGTCGCCAAGAAGGCAGCCCCTGCTAAAAAGGCAGCCCCTACTAAAAAGGCAGCCCCTGCTAAAAAGGCAGCACCAGCTAAAAAGGCAGCCCCAGCTAAAAAGGCAGCCCCTGCTAAAAAGGCAGCCTCGGCGGCCAAGGGTAAGAAGACCGCTGCGCCTGCCACCGGAAAGCGGGGGCTCAAGGGCCACGCTGCGCCGAGCCCGGCGACCGGCAAGGTGGGCAAGGTCGACCCCGCGGCCGGCCTGAGCGACGATGCCATTCTGGCGGAGGCGGAGGACGAGGACGAGGAGCTGGACGCGATGCTGACCCTGATCGACGTGAAGAAGAACATGGACAAGTGAGTTAGCTGTTATGAAGTATTTCGTTTGTGTGCTGGCCTGCATGATTTGTGTTAAGCTTGGCTTGGTTGGTGTTCTTGCGCTGGGCCTCGCCTTTCCTCAGCTGAAGAGCCAGCTCCGATCCGACGTCACTCATGCCATCCCGTGCAATTTGTGTGCTTGTGTGTACATGGCACCTGCTGCTGCCGCGGCTGCTGCTGCTGCTTCTCCTGCCGTTGTTCCGATGTGATACGCATATGACCCACGTGCACGGAACACATTTGTCCACTGAAGCGATTCTCCCAAGCTTTTCCCCCCGCATTTTTCGCAGACACGCTCTCGCTCCTTCACTCCGCCTTTCTACGCTTAACCTAACCCGTGTACGTCTGCGTACCCGCCGTTCTCGCGAAAACGCTCGCATCAACGTCTTATCCTATAACCCGTGGAGCCGTTCTCGCGAAAACCCTCGCATCAACGTCTTCCGTCAGGTACTTCGTTCTCCAGGTGATTCTCGAGCCCGCAGGCTCGTCCAAGAAGAAGGCTAAGACCGCCAAGGGCTCCTCCACGTCGGCCACGGACCAGGTGAAGAGTTTTTTTTGTTTTTGCAACTGAGAAAAGGCGTCAAATCATCACCTCCCCCCGTAGAGTATTTATTGTCTTGGACTTCGTCGTCAGGGGCTGGAAGTTTTGGCGGCGGCTCCTGTTGGTTCGTTTGCGTCTCCCCCCTCCGTGCCTCGAACGGTTTCGAGGAGCTAAGGTCCTCGGGGGGACGGCCCAGAAGGAAGAGTTGGTAAAAGCTAGGACGGATACAATAAAAAAATCTCGTGTAGCCGAACGTGGCGCCAAAGGTGTTGCTGGCTGGGGCATGTTCTCGTTTGCCCCCTCCTGCCGCCTCGAGAACGTGCGGACCAATCAGGGAACAGCGGTTTGAACCGCCGCCCGTGCACGATACATACGGTGGCGGTGGTGGTGGTGGTGGTACGCAGCACCAGTACGGTCTGAGGACGACGACGAAAGTCCTTCGTGACAATCCCCCCCCCCCACTCGGTGTTTCCCCCCACTCGGTGTTTGCCATCGGGGTTGGGTTTTCGGCGCTTGGCAACGACGTTGTAAAACAAGCCAATTCACTTCGTGAATTCGGCAAGCAGGTTACCATTTTTTTTTTTACCTCGTTTTTTTTTTGGCGGTAACCATAATGGTGGTCGAGTAGATCATGTTGTGCGGGGTCGAGAACCCTCACTCCGCGCAACGGGGGATGATCGCACCACGTTGTGTTAAAATGGTCAAGCTTCCTCGAGGCAGTTACACAGTGCTTACAACTGTCTCTGGAAGTGAAAGCACCAGAAAATAAATTAAGTCATACGTAGCTGTCATCCGTACGCAAGGAAGTAAGCACAAGATGCCGAACACCCTTAGCAGGATGCAGCTCACCCTTCATGCGACTCGCCAAATACCTCACGGCGCTTCGCGCTTGGTGATGTGAGAGCCTGGTCCGGTGAGAACCCGGCGTGCTCCGTCCCGGCTTTGTAGGGATGCGAGGTCAATGGTCA